TATATATATATTTGGTACCACTGAGTCAGTTTTTGACTACTGGCAACTACCTGGACTAGTCCCTGCAGTTTTCTTGGCAAGGCTTTTCAGAAGTGGTTTGCCATAACTCACTTCCTAGGGCTGAGAGAGACTGGCCCAAAGTCACCCAGCTGGCTTTGTGATTAAGGCAGGACTAGAACTCATGGTCTACCAGTTTCTAGCCTGATGCCTTAACCACTACACCAAATTGGCTCTCATATGCTCAGTGGTAGAGGAAACAAAACACAGCAGACAAAAAAGACAGACAGGGTAAAATCAAGCAGAGGGTGGAAAAGGACAAAAAATCTGTACTGTTCAGCACAATTCTGGTCATCTGCCAACCTTATGAAAGATTCTGGATTTTTTTTATGCCTTAGGCTAAAGCACCTAACCCAGATTAAAGATAAATATCATTAGTGAGGTCCTACAGTTTCTTCTGCTCTCCTTTTCCCAGAAGAAAGCTTAACCTTATCTCAAGGATTGTAGGATAAAATAAACCAAATGAGTACCTAAACTGACTCCCTGCAGTGGCTGGTGGTAGAGTAATTAGACAGAATTCAATTAGAGTAATGTGCTGCCTAGTGGTGGTGGACGCACTGTACACAGAGCCAGCATAACACAGGCTCCTTTGTAAAAGTAACTTTTCATCAGATTCAGGAGAATAAACTAAATAAATCTGAAGTGCCAGAAAATCAGCTGGAATATAACAATGATTTTGAGCTTATTGTATGACCATACTTTTAACTGGAACTTTTAATAAGCATAAATTGTTTATTTGAGTCTCAGTAATTTAAACAAATAAGAATAAATATAACATATTCTCCACTGGGCATATCAATTTCTCCTCATCACGCATTAAATGTCAATACGTTTTGCATTCTAAATAACCTTTTTAAAAAGTTGCTCAAGAATTTCCACATTACGCAGAGTTGATACTATGAAACTCATATTTATAGACACTATAGTATATTAAATCTGAATATAGCTAGAATAATCTCATCCAGTATTTAACATGAAACCAAAGCTAATTAGGTGCTTTGGAGAAATGCCTATGTAAGATTTAAAAATATTCCTCACCCACTCTTAGTTCTAGCAGTTGTATTTGGAGCCATATTACCTTTGAATCTGACATTTCACATAGACAAGTTTATAAAGGCTTGGTAAATGGCTGCCTCTTTAAAATGTAAAATGTAGTTGTGAATTGTACTGTACTTGTATTAAGAGTATAAACTAAAGCCAATGAAGTCCAATGGTCAACCAAGAAAGAAAAATCAAAGCAATCAACTATCATTTGAATAAACACTGGGCATTTCTGATACAAACAAAAGTTAACATCATATTTATAAAACAGATTCAACCATTTTAATTATCATTAACCCTTTTTTCAAACACAGCTGCCCCAAAATACCAATGTCCTTCAGACTTGCTTCATAAAAACAATGCTGCAATTAACATACCAAGCTTACCACAAATTGAACAATTTTTGTATACATCAGGCTTCTGGAATCTAGTGCCTCCAGATGTGTCGGGAATTAAACATATGGTTGAATTATCTACTGATTATAGCAGCTGTAGTTGAACACATCTGAAGGCACCAGGTTTGGGAAGGAAAGTATACATTAGCTGAGCTTGGTTAATATATATTTTAACTTTACCAAGCCTATCAAACTATGGCTAGATTATAAGAGCAATTTATATCCTTGAAAAATATTCCTGCACATTATCAATATTGATAGGCATGTGTGTACACAGTAGTCTCCTACAATGTGTAGAAAATAAATACATAAAATAAATCTTGCAGTTATACCCAGAAATGTGTTTGCTGGAATATATTGCTTGTGATCTTCTAATGACACTTGTTCCAAATTACATCTAAATGACAGGCTACATGAACCTCTATCAGGGCAAATGCCTTAGTGTAGTAGGTTGGGATTATGAAACTCTTTCCAAAGAGAGCTTTGTCCTACTGATTCCTTTCTAAAGGCAAACTTATTTATTTTGATATTTGAAAACTGCCGAGATTTGCATGAATAGCAGTTCTCAGACAAAACAATAGCTGTAGACATGACAAAGTTCAACTAGAAAATTCTTAGAATCCTTACAAAAGAAAAAAAATACAACAGAACTTAAATAAGTTATTGAAAATGAAAATATCAAGCATTTTTACATGCTAATATAAAAGCAACAATTAAAATATATACAATTATGCATCATTGGCTATCAGGCATACAAACATACAATCTGATGCTACATTTTGTCAAATTCCACTATGTTCAGTGAAGTTTACCACTGTAAATACATCTTAGACTGCAACTTTCATTCCCTCCACCTATCCAGAGGCCATCATATACTCAGTTGGGAGAAAGAAACAGAATCCCAGAGAAGAACATATCTACTGCCAGGATGCTCTTTAATAAATGACAGAATAGCCACTGTGCAATTATCCTTCCATTAAAAGAATCTTGACAGATTCAGATGTTCAGTCAAATGATTATTTTCTTTCAACCTATGCAAAGTTTGAAGTACACATTTCCAAGATACATATAAAAACAAATAACATGAGTGAGCGAAAGAAATACTAAGGAGGAAAAGACTTGGGAGGATAGAGGACACTCTCCTACCTTGGTTAGCTGAGCTATTTTCTTGCTCATTTTGAGATGGAGATCATGGTTGTATTCCATGCCGAACTGGGAGGACGTCACTGAGGAAGAAGAGGTGGTGTTGAATTTACCAGTGCTGGTCGAGGAGCTGCCGCTGTAATAGTGCTGCTGCCAGCTCATCCCTGGTGTCGCCATCTTCCACAGCAGAGACCCTGTTAACAGATCTGCCAGGGACCAGGGGAGGAAGAGGATAGCGAGGATGATAAGCAAATGTGGGGAAGGGAAGGAGGATAGAGACAGAGAACTAGTGCTTTGGGCAAAAAAGGGAAGGCACCAAAAGGAAAGAAGGGAGGTCAAAATACCTTCTCACCCTCCTCCCCTTCTTTCAGGGACAAATACACGCGCGCACACATGCACACAAAAGCAGCACCTGGCCCTTACTGCCGTTCTCTTTTCAGCCTAAGTGGTCATTTTGGCCTCTTCTGCATCATTGTCCTACTTGGCTGGGAGGATGGAAGAGAAGGAAAAGCAAGGGGCCTGCAGCCTCCTCCTCCCCTGTTCCGCCCTGGTGAGGGAAACGGGCATTTGGGGAATAAAAAATGTGAGTTTCCGTTCCACGGACGTATAAAAGCAGCCCCCCCACCCCCCCGGGATGCCCCAGCCGTCGTTTCCTTTCTCCCGTCGAGAGATGACGAGGAGTAGGGGCGGGCAGGGGGAAAGGCGGTCTCCGCTCTTCCCTCACAGGAGCACCGCTCCCCACGAGACCCTCTTTTAGGTCCCGCGGGAGGAGTGGGATCCTAAGCAGAGCTCCTTTCTTCAGTCGGGCTGCGCTTCCAGGGCTCCCTTCTTCTTAACGCACAGAGAACAGAAGAAGCCGCAGGCACAGCCCAGGAAGCCGAGGCGACTGTTAGTCACCCCCTCGCGCTCCAGACCACAGTCGCGAACCGACGGTTACCAGGGTCCCACCAAACTGTTTACACCGTGCAGGTAGCGTCATTTCCGGCTCTGCTAGCCTCTAGTCTCCGCCCCCTTTCAGAACCTCGGAAAGAGGCTTTTTAAAAATGAAACGCTCGCCGGAACGAGGAGCTTCGCGCCCGCCACCCGTAGATACATCCGCGCTAAGGGTCGGGTGGGGAGGAGGTAAGAAAAGGAATCCCTCTGGGCCGTTTCTGATGTCTCTCTGGAATCTGCCGCTCCCTCCCCCCTCCTGGCGTCATGCGCAGGAGCAGCCAGCTTTGTTTCTTGGGCTGCGGCAACGGCGACAGGTGTAACAGTGTTACTAGGCTGAGGCTCCTCCGGTCTCCGTGATCAGTAGTCGCCAAGAAAGATAATCTTTCTCCCCCGCTCTCAGGGTTTTACGTGGCTCTTACTACTTTGAAAGGAGGAGAACTACACATCCTTCTCAGGCGGGAGCAGTCTAGGAGAGGCTGCCCTCAGCTATGTTGTGCAAATGCTTTGAAGAGCTGCAGCATGAATGAAGCACCTTGGTTTTAATGGTTACAAAAGCAACTTTATTTATTAGATTTATAAGGCCATCCAATTGTATGTGGAAGCTCACTGATAACCAGTGCAGCTCACATAGCAGAAGTGTTACATGGGTGTACTGAGGTGAGCCTAGAACTGCTGACACTTCTGTGGTCTGGATCAGCTGTAGTTTCCTAGTGGTCTTCAAAAGCAGTCCCAGGTAGAGTACATTACAAGGTGACCAAGACCTGAGTGACCATGAGAAGGGACTCCCAGTCCAAGAAAGGGCACATTTAGCATACCAGATGAATCTGTGTGAAAGCCCTTCTGGCTACAGCTGCCACCTGCTCTTTGAGCAAGAGCTTTAAGTCCAGGAGGACCCCCAAATTGTGTGCCAATTCTGTAAGGGGAAGTGCTACTTCATTCAGAATCATAGAGAATCTCTAGTACCAGAAGAACCATGCACCCCTAGCTCTCAGTCTTGTCAGGGTTAAATTTAAGCCTGCCCTTCCCCATCCAGATCTGAACAGCCTCGAAGTATTGGGACAAGACCAGGGGTAGTTATGTCAGTATTGGCATAACTGACCAGGGGTTGAGATATTTGGTTGAGTATCATTAACATACTGATGATCCCTAACCCCATGTAGGGGATGATATCCAGCATTTCCATGAAGATGTTAAACAGGAGAGGTAAGAGTGTTGAGCCTTAGGCACCCTGCAAACCAAGGGCTTCAGGCTGGACCTCTCCCCACAAGTCAACACTGATGGGAACTGGTCAGGGATAAAGGAGGAAAACTACCACAACACTGTGCCTTCTGCCCAAAACCACATCGCTGGTCCAGAAGGATGCCATGATTGAAGACCACTGAGAGATGAAGAAGAACCAGTACTTTTGCCTCAGGAAAGAGGCTTTGTATGTATGTGTGCACATACACATGGAAACTGGGAACAGCTTTAGAAGCAGCATGAGAAAAGATGTGGCTGCTTTAATGATTCTGATGGGAGGTCTGAATCCATAGAGTAAAAGACTGGGGATCTCACATTCAGAGTCTCTGCAGTCACAATGACAGCAAAAGGACAAACCACATGGCATAATGTCATAATGCAAGCCTTGACCTTTTGTATTTGCATCATGATGCTGCACACAAGTACAGGAGAATTTCTAACAGGAGTATGTTTGAACTGGAGACCAGGACACTGTTACATTGAAACATAAATTGAAGGCAAAGACAGGCCTAAAAGGGGCAGAGGTTACAGTCCTTCTTTATAGATCTTTGCAAATTAGAGTATACATGTGAATGGGTATAGCAGCAGGGTATTTGATTTAGTATAAACAATTGTAGAGTATTTGATCAGATATAGCACATCATGTATCTAGTGATGTCAGTGAGGCCATTAGGGCATTAGTAAGTGGTAGGGGGAGCAGGACTACAAAGATAATGGGGGTTTTGAAAGAGCAAAAATGCAGTATTTCATGAATGTAGTTTTTTTATGGAGAGTTACTGTTATAAGAATTCTCAAACTGTTCCAGATTCCCAAAGTCTGTGTTTGCCTCCTAGTTTCTTTTTCCAGCCTATCAGCATTCTTTAGCCTTCCAAATGTTTTATGGCCGAGCTGACAGTTTAGTTTCCCTGTGAGGATGCATTTGAATTAGGGGCTTTAGCTTGACCTCCAAAATTCTCCTTCATAAATTTGTGTTAGATGGAAATTACAGGCTTCAGCAGTTGCTGGTATACAAATGGCTGTAAAGAAAGCCTGGAGCAATCTTGAAAGCAAATGGAGGGCAGAAAGAAGACTGGGGAAAGGATGGCCAGGGAAGAGTGGCCAGGACGAAAATCCAAGATCTCAACTTTGTCGATGTTGAACCTGAACATGATTGATAATTACAATAAGAGTCATATGACTATAGAATTGGAAGGGCCATTGAGGCAATTGAATCCAACCCTCTGCTCCTTGCAACAGTACAAATTAAAATATTCACAACAAATGGTTATCCAGCATGTGCCTTGGGAGAACAGGGGAAATCTGGGACAAACCAAGATAACATCTTGGGTACATCAGGCAGACCCAACCAAAAAGCCCTGACAAGTAGCTATTAATAGGGAGCTTCTATCTTTCTTCCGTCTAACTGTTGGAAGATCCATCTAACATTGATCTTTGAGAGCCAGAACTCTACACAAACTACAAGCAAAAGATGATTCTTCCTCTCTCTCTCCCTCTTCAGGTGAGAAACATTCTATTTTATTCTTCTTTCCAAGTGGTGTGATAAGGTGCAAAAGATGCTCCTTGTTAGCTTATTTGTGTATGCATGCATATGTGTGGATGCTATAGCTTGTAATTTTTCCCCCACCTTACTGTGATAGAAAGCTTCAAAATGTTTGACTTACTTTTTGGTGGCAAGAGTTGCTATGTTTCTCTTTCTGCATGCTTTTTTATAACTGCCCCCTGGGTAAAGTGAAACATTTCTTGAAACATCCCCCATTTCCCCTGCTGCCTTCTGAACTTCTCTGTCTCGCTAAATTAAATATGCAGCTCTCTAAATTCCTTGGCCGAACTGAACTGAATAAGGTGCTAAATTCTCACAGATGATTAATAGTTTCTTATTTGATTGCCTGGTATGCTTTTAGCCTCAAAAGTTCTTTATGCTACATTCTCTATAAATTGCTTATTATTTGATTGCCCTGAATACCATTTGTCTCAAATATTATTGAATAAATGATATTTATTGAATATTAATTATAGCTTCTTTTTTGAACTTTTGGAACACATAAATGTGTTCTGCAGCTTACAGTGTTAATTGACACTGTTGGAGACCCTAGATTGTAATGGTAAGAAATCTGAGTGTCTCTTACTATTAAAAAACCTTTACCTAAAGGTCATAGTTTGAAGCTATTATGGCTACAAATTGTAAAAGAAAAGAGCAAGTGTGTTTGATTTTGTTATGGTACTTTGAGGTTGGAATCGCACAGTAAGTACAATTTGGTAGTGTTCTGCATTTTACTTATTTCAGTGGAAGAGCTAGTTACATACACACATACTTAAATTAGTGAAATGTAAAAGTATTTATTTTCTAAGCTTGAGACATTGAACAGAGGCTGTGAAATAGGCATATTACAGGTTGGGGATTATTTGGGGAAAGGAATTAAAATAAAGCTGATGTTATCATAATTGGAATAGTGTATACCACTTTGGACATAACACCTTAAAAGAGGTATTAGAGACTTAGAAAAGGTTGAGAAAAGCACAAATAAAATCATGTAAAGGCTGGAGGAATATTAGCACGACAGTATAGTATAATCTTTGGAATAGGGTGAGGTATGATAATATTGCATACAATTATGCATGATGAAGAGAAAATAGAGCTAAGTTTCTCTTACACCCATTATCCCTGCTCAGGCAAAATGCTCAGAGAGAAGCAGCCCCCCTCCCCTTTCTGTCACATCATAAATGATACTAAACAGCAAATGTCCACAGATACCATATGATTGTCTGCAGCAAGGAGTCTTCCACCACACCTGAATAATTCTACATGAGACAGAACTTTGGGTCTCATAGAGGAAGCCTGTATAGAAACCTTCCTATATATGCAAAGGCTCCCAAATGCTGACAGTAGCAGTGAAGATGGCCTCTTACATGACTCAGAGAGCAGTAGAGATCTTCAATCCTCCTCCCATGTTGAATTCAACATGGTATTGTCTGAATAGAGTTCATATTACTAAAACTCAGAATCATCTGATGAAGGTGAATGGTGGGGAATTGGAAGAGGAAAAACAAAGTACTGTACTTCACATAGCGTTATTAGACTACAGAATTCACTACCACCAGATATATTGATGCCCATCTCTTTAGATAGCTTTACAAGGGGATTAAACAAAATTAATGAAGGCTATTCATGGTTATTCATTATGATAGCTGTATATTGCTTTGAGAATTAAAAGCAATGAATCTCTCAATATACTATAGGAAGTCTCTAAGGGTTTCTTACAGAACTGTAATTGGCCAACATGAGAATAGGATGTATGTAGGATGTATGTATGTATTTTGTATTTTCTGTTTTTGTCAGATTCAGTTCTTATATTCTTATGGAAAAATTTGACTGGGAAGAAATATTCCATCAACAAATTGAAAAGAAATTGTGAAATGATCTATATCACAAGAAGTCCATTGTTTTTCCTGGCTATATTTTAAAGATGAAGAGAAATTGATTTGGAGGGGAAATAGAGTGGCCACCATTTTGTTTGTGAGAATTTGTTAACTGAATCTAGCCTTTATTTGTATTCCTTGAATAATCTGATATAGAACATTGCTTGTTTGTCCTCTCCAATTGTTGTTTAACTGCTTTGAATCTATGGTTAATTTTACTTACTAAGAAAAATATCACTAAGGAAATCCCTGATTAAGTTAATATACGTAAGGAAAACTTATTTTTTCCTTGGGAGGGACAGTAAATCCTTCCATCAAAAAGCTCAAGTATGTCCTTCTACAGTCGAACCCATATTAAATGGGGAAAATAGTTTTTCAAGAGA